TGCTCTCTGTCAGAGGCACAGGATATGAAAAAAGAAAGTTATTCTGGTCTTAGGTCCTTGAGTGATGTGAGTTGTGGTAGGTGGGACAGTAGAGACGGTCACAGCTTTGTTGCTCAGCTGTGAAAAGGGGCTTTCTTGCAAAATTTCCATTTACGTCATCTCTTCAGCTTGTCTTATGGGTATCATCACCGTTGTATAGAAATACCAGCAGCATTTCCTGGAGCCCTGGTGAGTCAGCCAGGGATGTTTGAGGAGGAAGGATTAAGGTTAGGATGTTCTGCTCGCCATTGCAGGCGGACCACAGCAACGTGCAGGCAGCAGTGCAGCCCTGCGGACCAGGTGAACTGGTTCTCCTGTATCAGCCTTGCGTCACTCCTTGGCTGCCTGCACTGGCGTTTGTGCCAGCTAGGTTGGGCCAAGCCTCTCCGTGCATCACGTGATCCTATTCTGTGCTGAATTCTTCTGAAAGAAAACTTCCAAGCAGGAGACTTAAAAAAATAAAAATAAATGTAAAGAACAATAACAATTTCTATTGTGAATTTCTTGGAGCAATCTTGGCAATCTTGTATACAATTTTAGACGTGTTTGAGAAGGTGTTTAATCATGAAGAAGAAATTATTTGCTCTCTTCCTCCCCAAAATGTAATTGCTTAAACTGGCCTTTGTATTTGTGAAAGATTTTTTTTTTTTTTTTTTTTTTTTGAGATGCAACAGAAACCTGTTTAATTAGGCATACTTTACACTTAAGGTCTGTCTTCAGCAGTCCAAAGGATGTTTCTTGTGCTTCTCTTATAGAGAAGTCTCAGATCTAGGAGTGGGCTGAAGGTTTTGCAATGTTGGAGGAAAAGCCCTCCACTGGATTTTGAACTTGCCTTAAGTACTGGGAAGGCCTAAGAGGAAACCTCAGAGATTTATGTTCTGAAATATTTTTCTTTTCCACTTTTGAAGTTTAGCTCTGGGACTCATCTGCAAAAATAAACCAGAGAACAGGTAGTTACCCAAAATGGCTTCTACTCCTGTGTGACCCTGCTCTTCAGGCTTCAAAATCTTTGCACCCAAAACTATGGGTGAAGTTGTGGCTGTTTCTCAGTTTGTGGAGAAAAACCTGAACTTCTTTAAGCCAGGTCTTTACTCAAAGTCTTTTATTTTTACCTCATTACGCTTCCTCCTTCTGCTTGGAAACAGAAGTTTGGAAATTACAATAGACCACTTGCTGGCTGGGCTTTGTCTCTGACCAGAAACGAGACAGTCCTGAATGTTGCAATAAAACCCACTGTGAAAGTGCTGGTCTGTATTTGCATTGATAAAGTTTGGGCAAGAATCTCCTTGAACTCAGCACTGGATTCTCTGATGTTGGCTTACTGTCATGGAGCTTTGCTAGTCCTGGCTTTATAGGACTTCTGTGAATTGGCTTCACAATGTGACTTTGAATTTCTGGTAGCTCTTTACTAGCAACAAAGGTTTTTCTTTAGCATTTCCTGTGCGTGCTTCCTTTGCATTGTATCTTGAGCATGCTAGAAATAGGTAGAAAACCGGGCTTAAAGCATAGAGAAGAGATGAAGAATGTGTCTGTTGTCTGAATCGCTTGCAGAAGTAGAATGCAAATACTGGGGGATTCTTTTGTGTAAAACATCCTATAGAAAGATTAAATTATGATGTAGATGGTCTTTAGGCTGCCTATAGAAGTACAGAACTACTTGCAAAGGCTGAGACTAGAGTTAGGCAACAGAGCAAGGCTTTACATTCTCTGAATATGACTTTGCACTTTGCATGTTAACTTTTACACATTAACTGAGTCACAAGTTTGTTTCGTTTTGCACGTTTTGACGTGACATCGCTGCTGAATGTGGATGACTCATTTACTTGCCAAAAAAAAATGGTTTATGCCTTTTTGTACCCAGCTATTCAGTCTGCACTACTTTTCCCATGGTAAAGTCACCCCTGTTCCATTTCCCCGGGGACTGCCTTCCTCCATCATGAACTTTTCTGAGGGTGTTGCGGTCCTTCGGGTTTTCTCCTGTGGCTGTGGGCACTCAGCAGTTGATGACAACTGTGGTGGGACATCCCAACCTGGTTCCTGAGCCGTACCAAAGGCAGCGGGCCTCAGGACAACCATTCTCATTAGTGGCTGTGCCCAGGTGCAAGCACCTGGTTTAAAAGTGCATGTGAAGGAGGCTTTGTACTGCTAGTGACCACCTGAAATTTTCAAAAAACCTGAGAAACCAGAATACCATACCTATGTTTACCAAGAAGGCTTCAAAACCCAGCAACAAATGCAGTCAGGGGTTACAGTCAGGATGGGATGACTATGACAGTAATTGTGGCATTATTCATGTAATATTTTTTGCCATGCACAAGTAGGGAGAAGTTTTTAAGTCAACCCAGAGAATCATCCTGTTCTTGCTGTGGTCACTTGGATATTTTCCACAGCTTCCATGGGAACAGAGGCCAAACTCTGAACCCTTTCAGGAACTGTATGAGCTGCTTTCTGAGCTGTCCTGGCCCAGCTGAGCAGAGCATTTCTGTAGTTAATAAAAGCCCTTGCATCCCCTGTCTGGAATCTGCATTGTTTTCACTGGATTTGGGGCCAACATGGCCAATCATGGTGCTTGACAGTCTTAGAAAATACTAAAAATAAATTATATATTGGGCAAATCCCATCATCATGTTTTCTCCATGATGATGGATCGTTAGCCCAGGAGCGTTGCTTCCTTCTCCATGGCTGCCTTTGCCCAGAAAGCCAGCTGTATCCCGGTCTGCATCACCAGCAGCATGACCACCAGGTCAAGGGAGGGGATTCTACCCCTCTACTCTGCTCTGGTGAGACCTCACCTGCAGTGCTGCGTCCAGCTCGGGGGTCCCCAGGACAAGAAGGACATGGAGCTGTTGGAGCGAGTCCAGAGGAGGCCACGGAGATGATGTGAGGGCTGGAGCACCTCTGCTATGAGGACAGGCTGAGAGAGTTGGGGTTGTTCAGCCTGGAGAAGAGGAGGCTGCGGGGAGACCTTAGAGCCCCTTCCAGTCCCTGCAGGGGCTCCAGGAAAGCTGGAGAGGGGCTGGTGACAAGGGCAGGGAGTGACAGGCCAAGGGGAATGGCCTGAAGCTGCAGGAGGGGAGATGGAGATGAGATGTGAGGCAGAAGTTCTTCCCTGTGAGGGTGCTGAGGCCCTGGCACAGGCTGCCCAGAGAAGCTGTGGCTGCCCCTGGCTCCCTGGCAGTGGTCAAGGCCAGGTTGGATGGGGCTTTGGGCAACCTGGGCTAGTGGAGGGGGTCCCTGCCCATGGCAGGGGGTGGAACTGGGTGGGCTGTGAGGTCCCTTCCAACCCAAACCATTCTAGGTTTCTATGCTGCTGTTCCAGAATGGAGAACAGGTGGACAGTTGCAGTGCATCCAGCTCTCCAGGCCAGAAATAATGGGATGCAGCTTTTGAGTCATACACCTCACTCTTTGTGCAATTGTAGGCAAGGCAGAATGGAGGTGCAGCATCCCCAGCCCCACCTTTAGTGCTGCTACAGCTCCAGGGACTTTTCCTGTCCCCCTTTCAGTACAGGAGTGTGGTGTTGCAGGAGGAAGAGGTGAAGCAAGAAGACAGTGGCACCCCATAAGTCTCATCCTTTCCCTGCATCCCTGAAAAGGGGTGGGAGGAAGAAGCCTGGGTCACTGTACGTCTGCAGACAGGGAAATGGGAAAGAGCTTTTCCTCAACGAGAGGAAAAGTTAAAGGAAGGTTTAGGAATGGCTTTAATTATTAGCACCACCTGAAAACCCAATGCATGTGGAGAAAACCTCTTGAGAACTGGTGATCCTATTCCTTGTTCTGATATCTCACTTTGTAGAGGACCTGCCGTATCTGAGCCCCAACACAGCAGGATCTTGCATGACATGTGCTAAATCTCTCTAAGGGTTAGTTTGATCCTGGTTTCATCACTTGGTGCAT